CAATCATTGTTTCACCAAAGCTTGAAGTGAAGCTTCTCTAGCATAAGCTAGCCGCAAATGTCATAAAGTAGTAGTGTCAGAAGAATCATCAATAACAGTAACAGTTCCAGTCAATATACTACATTGAAGATAATAATGGTAGCGATGGTGAACTCCCTTTATAAAAGCAATGCTTCACAACATATCCTCAGAACTTATACCTTATAGTCATTGGCCTCTAAGGCTTTAACTGACAACAAATTCTTCCTAATATCTAGAACATGTCTAACATCAGTCAAGTACCTCATAATATCATTATGCATTTCGATAAAGATGCTCCATACAAGAAGCTCTATAGCAGTGCTATCTATCAAGCTTCTTGTACGTACAAAACCACTCTCGATGGGTATAAATGTGATAGGTAACACTTTAAGAATCCAACACAAATCACCTTTATATAAAGTGTGAGAAATTGCATATAATGATACATATGAATTCGCCTCATCACACCTCTCTATAATAAGATTAGCCTTCATCTCATAGAAATCTTTATTTCCCTTCTCTTTCATCTTTGGAAAGTCTTTCTTTAAAAGTACGTCAGATTTGATCATTGCCCATACAAAATAGTACGACAAGTTTGATCGTTGTTCATAATCACCACACTATTATCAAGCTTCTTGTGCATATATTATCACTGTTGATGGGGGCAAATGTGATAGATAGCATATGTATCTAGAATCCAGTAGGAATTCCCTGTATACAAACTATGACAAATTACAGATAAATATACATCTGAATTTGCATTGTCACACCTCTAGACAATAAGATTAACTTTCATCTCAGAAGACACTTCATTTCTCTTCTCCTTAAACTTTAGACTTTTTTTTTTAATGACCAATATTTAAACAAAAAAATATACTGATTTTTCTCAAAACTACGCCAATGAAATTTGTCCCGCTTCTAAAAGGTTCGCCGCTGCCACCTTTCGTTGCTCAATTCTTCTCATATCTGCAACGTTGGAGTATAGTGTCTCAAGATACTCAATCCTTATGGACTCTTTGTCCCTTCAATGAAATTCATGGTTAAATAAAGTCGTAGTTGCAACGTCATCATTTAAAACATTCCTCATACAAATGAGTGTTATACTAAGGTTTTCATATTCATCTGAGAAAGAATTTAACAGAACAAGTCTTTTCTTCGTCTCCAACCTCCTCATCCAGATTCAAGAGATCTATTAAGAACTTGGTAAAATCATTCAAATGCCCATCAATATTAATCTCACGCCTCGTCCGAAACCTGTAGACTCGACACTTTATATAGAGAAGATTCTCAACGCTTTTTGTGAGATATTTATTCTACAACATTCTTCATAATTTTGTAGCAAAAGTTTCCATCATCATCTCATATCTGATCACCTTATAAATAATTTTGGATCAAACCACACTCTCCGATTCAAGCCATAACACCATTAAATTTAATATTTTCCATAACACTCAGGTTAGGCCTCAAGCCAACAACAACTCTCCATAATTTCCCCATACATATTTTACCCCCTATTGGCAGGGTGAGCACTCCAATCTACAACCTTAAATATCTTCAATCTATTTCCAACCATTATGCTAAACATTCGAGCACTAGTCATGAAACATTCTCTTGATTATTATTACTTATAATACTGCTACGAACAAGCACTCGCATGAATACAGATATACACAAAGGATAGACACAAGCCACATCCATGGATAAGCAGCAGCGAAGTACAAGCACTTACTCGTAACTCACATCGAAAAACATTGATTTTTCTTCCAGGAATAGTTTCAAGGATGTTCAGCAGATGACATTGCTCTAGAAGTTAGCGACGGCCGCATCTTCACAATCTTTTCCTCATCGACACCCATTTTCTTTGCGGCCATTCCGGCTTCGAGAAAGCGCTTCATGGAGTTTTCTACGTATGCCAACCCTTGTCTGACACTCATTTTCTTTATGAAGTGCTCGATGTTTTTGAGTGAGTTATCGCCGCTGAGAGCCGACGCAAGTTGTGCGAGTTCCTGTTGGAATTCGGTGAGCGGGGCGTCTTCGTTGGCTTCGGTTTTTCTGATCTTTGCAGGGCTTGGGAGTTGGGCTGCTCAAAAATGTGAAAAGAAATAGGCAAAATTGATTACCAAGTGAAAAAATAAAACAAAAAATAAGAATGAAAGTTTTATGCGATTTTATTGAATTGATGGCTACGTCCTGATGCTGGAACTATAAATTTCATTATAACTTGATTATGAAAACTTACGGCTATAACGATTCGCTTCTATAGGGAAAAGTTGGAGCAGCTCGAAAAATTGAGCTACGATAAAATCTGAGTATTA